TTAATCACATTACCTTCTTAGCAAAATCTAGTGTGTCGCCCAGCAGCACCTGGGCAGCATAGCCCAGCCAAAGTGACAAATTACCACCACAGCTACCTCCCAGTCAGTCTCAGAGGGCCTCTTGGACCCACCACCCAGACCATCTTTCCTTCTGCTATTGAGTTCCAGGAAGTTGGCAGGCTAAGCATGCGCTGAGTTACATCCCCAGCGCACTGTTTTGGTTTTTTTTTTTTAAGTGTTTGGTTTTTGTTCATCATAGTTTTTTTTGCATTAATTTTGATTTTGAAATATTGCATTAGCCAGGTGTGGTGGTGCATGCCCATAATCCCAGCACTCTAGGAGGTTCAGGCAGGAGGATCACAAGTGCGAACCCAGGCTGGGTACTTTGTCAATTTAGCGAGATCTTGTCTCAAAATAAAAATTTTAAAATAGCAGAATCTGGGGTGTAGCTCAGTGCAAAGGCCCTGCGTTTAATTGCCAGTACTGCAAACAAAATTAATTAAAATTTAAAATTACATTAAAGTATTATGTATCTGAATTACTGAGTATTTTGGTGCCCCTTTAAATTTTTCACACAAGAAAAAAATCTCATTTGATTCATCCTAGCTTTGGCCCTGGCCCAATCATAACCCTTTTTTATCAACCCCCTTGCCCTATGGCTTATCTATCTTTGTATCCTGCTAACACACTGCCAGCTTTAATTGAAGGGAGGAATCAAGGAAGCAAAGAAGGAAAATAGCTAATGGTAATAGTTAACATCCTAATACTTAGTGCTTACTGTGTACCAGGTACTGGGTTAAGCACTTTACTCATCTAATAAGCTAATAATAATGATGATGATGTACCCATTTTACAGATGAGGAAATTGAGGTGCACAGAGGTGAGTAAACTGCAATGCATGAGTGACTATAGCAGAACTGGGAGCAGCTCTTTCTGGATTCCTAAAATATCTCTTGCTTACTGTTTCTCTTCTGGTTGCTGGAGTGAGCCGAGAAGGAGGAAGCATGAATACAGGAAGAGGTAGAGAGACAGAATTTAGAAGAACAAACCATCACACTTTCACATCCAGTTATCTCACTTGAGCTTTGCAACTATTTGAGGAGAGGGGTAATGACAATGGTGGGTGGGGTGGCACAGGTGGCCTCCCTCCTACACACCCTGGCAAGCTAGTAGCACACTCTGCAAACTTTCCTGATAAGTGAGGTCAGCACCTCTTCCTGAAGGGCAGGTCTCCCTGCTTCTGCCCCGCCAGGGACTGAGTGTAGAAGGAAGAGATTTGATAAGAGCCAGAGCTAACGTCACCACCGCTCAGATACTCTTGTCTAGCTGGCTCCACCTGATCTGCTCCCCACCCTGTTTCCTGCCTGATGGTAGGGAAACCCCCGGAAGCACACCAACGCACAAAATGAAATTCTGAACACCCCAAGCCAGAATCTAAAATGGCCAAGAAAAAAAATTTTTAATTAATGGCCAAGAAATAAAAATACACTTGTGAGAAAAAAATTAAATTCACAAGACTTACTGAGAAGGGGTCATCTTAGGTCTTTTAATCCGGGCATATCCTGAGCAAATGCTTACTGTTTCAGTTCAGATGATCTCTGAAGAGAGGGGCTCCAGGGAGGAAGGAAATGTAGCTTTCATTCTACATTTCATTCTTTCATTTGTGGTACTAGGCGTCAACCCAGGTGTGCTGAGCTACATTCCCAAACATCTCTAGTCCTATTTTTCTCATTAAGTTTATTAGTACTTTTCAATAATACAGTACAGTTGCATTCATCACTGAGATCTTGTACCTTTACATGATGTATCTAGGTTCTTATTTTTTCCCCATATCCCTGCCCTCCCTTCACCCCCTCCACCCTTCCCTATTCCAGTCCTATTTCTTAATTAAGTTTATTGGTACATTTTAGCTATACATAATAATCACATTCATCATAGGGAATCTGTACCTGTGTCTTGGTTCTTACTTTTTTCCCCATTCCCTTTTCCTCCCTTCAACCCCGCACCCCTTCTTATTTACAAAAGCTTTGTTTCCATTTTTTTTCTTTTCCCATTTTCTTCTTTCCCTTCCCTCCTTTCCCCCTCCCCGCTCCTTTGTTGTCCTTTTTCAAACATTTTCTTGAACATTTCCCAATATCTGTTGTACATTTTGGTCCTTATTTTCACTTTCATTTTCTCACACCAGGGAAACAATGTGGTAGTTATGTGTGTCTTATTTATCTCACTTCAGGGTATGAAGTGCATCCATTTAGCTATAAATGTCTTAAGGTTATCCTTTTTTATAGCAGAGTAGCAGTGCAGTACTTAATTGCATTAAAAAAAACTCATATCTTTATCAACTCATTGGTTGCTGGCATTCTGGCTGCTTTCAAGATTTAGCTATTACAAATTGAGCCACTGTAAATATGGTGTGTATACATTGCTGTGATATGATGCTTTTAATTCTTTCAGATACCAAGGAGGGGAATAGCTGGGCCAAATGGAATCTCTAGTTTTAGCTCTTTGAAAAATCTCCACACTGATTTCCACAGTGGTTGCACCAGTCTGCACTCCCACCAACAGTGAAGAGGGTTCCTTTTGCCCCACATCTCCACCAGCATTTATTATTGGTTGATTTCTTTATAATGGCCATTCTTTCTGGAGTGGATGGGATTGTTTTAATTTGCATCTCTTGAATGACCAGCAATATTGAACATTTTTTCATATATTTGCTGTTTCTACTGCATCTGAGAAGTGTCTATGCATTTCAGATATCTATTTTTGGATTGAGTTTTTAAAATAGGAGGGGTCTTATTTTTTTTTTTTAGTTCTTTATATATTCTAGATTGTAGTCCTTTGTCTGACCCAGTCCTTCTTAATTTTAATTTTGTGACAGGATCTCATAAATTTCCCAAGCTGATCTTGAATTTGTGATCCTCCTGCCTTGGCTTCCACATAGCTGGGATTACAGTATGCTTTACCATACCTGGCTTTTTTTTTTTTAAACCATGAGTATATAAGCTGGGCATGGTGGTGCACTCAGTGGGATGAGGCAAGAGGATTACTGCGAATTCAAGGCCAATTTGAACATAGTGGGTTCAAGGTCAGCCTGAACTACCTAGCGAGACCCTATCTCAAAAAAACAAAAAATAGAGTAAAATTATGTGCATATATTACTTTTTCATTTAAAGAAAAGTTTCCCCCCACCCTGGGGAATAAACCCAGGGCCTTGCACATGCTAGAAAAACTCACTCTCTACTGAGTTATACCCCAAGCCCCCCAAAAACATTATTTACAGTAGTCTGCCAGGAATGGAAGCCAAGGTGCCAGTCACTACAATGTGGTGTATCCTTTCCAGACCTTCCTGGAGCAAGCCTGAACCATCCTTCTTCTAGAAAAGAACATCTCAGTGCATGACACGTAAGGAGTAGTTTTACTGCGTGTGCCTTCCAATTATACAGCTCGCCGTTCTGAAGAGTCAAAGTCACATTTAAAACCAGATCAGTGCTCGCCTCAGCAGCGCAATACTAAAACCAGCTGAAGAAAAATGAGGTGAGCGATTGGCTTCTGAAATGTTAGGCACACATCACAGACTGTTGCCACTTCCTGGGAAGCTGTGCACATCTCTCAGGATCTCCAGGCTGGGGTCAGTGGCCACCAGCATGCCCAGAAGGAACTGAAGCCACTCACCTCAAGTCAGGTTAGGTCCTGACTAAGGATCACGTGTCTGAGGGTCAAACCCATACAGGGAATATCTAAATCCTAAGAAGAGAAAAATGAGGGGCAACATCCCATGATCTTGAGCAGGAAATGCTTTCATCCAGGAAAAGAGCTGTTAAGGCAAGTCACAAAAACAGGTACAGCGGGAGCAGTGAGTTAGAATGGCCCAAGAGTCTGTAAAGGGGCTAAAGAGGAAACTGAGGAAGCTCAGTAGAAAATGTCTCTTCAGAAGCTTAAACCGTCTCCTAGCCTCTAGTGTGAAAGGGAGTTGGTGGAAGTTGATAAAAGTTGGTGGGACAGATTCCCTGGCTACTTAAAATTGGGGAGATGGGTGACCATGCCAAGAGTGAGCAACACCTCCCTTTCCACCCGTTGGAATGTCGACCTTGCCTGTCCCCCTCATCTACTGTACCTGGGCAAACTTTTCAAACATTCCGCTGGCCTTCTCTCCAGACTCCTTCACAGAACACCTTCCTTGGCCTCCCTATGAATAGTTCAGTTCTGCCATGAGGTCCCAAAATAGAAAATAATATTGTTTATTTTCATTCAACTATTAATCCTCAAATAGCTCCCTCAACCCTTTCCAGTCACTCCTGCCAGACTAAGGGCCTACAAGATTACATCACAGAGGGCCCGGGATTTAGCTCCATGCCTGCTTCACAAGCTCAAAGACTGGAGTTCGATCCCCAGTACCAAAAAAACAACAAAACAAAAACTAACAAGATCACATCAAAGAATCTCAGGGCTGGAGAGGGCCATGAGCAGCTATGGTGCCGGTAATTGCAATTGCCTAGGCTGTAGTTCCAGCTCCACCACAACTTGTTCAATGATTCTCAAAGTTGAATGTGCACCAGAATCACCAGGAAGACTTTCTTAACTATTACAGCACTGGGGATGGAACCCAGGGCCTCTGCATTGACCTAAATCCCCAGCCCTTCATATATATATATACACACATATATATACATGATATATATACACACACATATATACGTACATATACATATATATACATATATATGTGTATATATACGTATATATACATATATACGTATATATGTGTATATATATACACATATATATGAATTTTATGTAATACATGTATGTATATATATATATATATGTGTGTGTGTGTGTGTGTGTGTGTGTGTGTGTGTGTGTGTGTATGTATGTTAAATCTGGGTGTAAAGGCCTGTAATAACAGCCCTGGAGGCTGAGGCAGGAGGATTGCCCCAAATTCAAGGTCAGCCTGAGCTACATAACGAGACCCTGTTTTGTTTTTTTTTCTTTTATTCCCCCTTAAATTGTACAGGCTGGGCTCAAACTTCTGATCCTCCTGCCTCAGCATCACAAAGTGCTGAAATGACAGGTATGTTCCACCACACCAAGCTCACCAGGAAGACTTTTGAAACACAAATTGCTGGGCTCCACCCCCAGAGTTTGAGGTTATCTCTGTACAACTATCTGCTGTAGGGCCTGGCGTCTACATTTCTAACACTCCCGAGCGCTACTGTGAGTGCAGGTCCGGGAAGCCACACTGAGGAACTCTCTGCAGCTGCGGGATCAGCGCCTCCCGCGTACAGGCCGAAGAAACGGTAAGTTGTCTGGTGGAGCTGAGGTTTCCTGAAACCTGGCACTTGGGAGTTCTAAACACAGTACGTGGCACGCGCGGTTAAAACCACGCTTGTCGCCTGGGGGAAGGGAGTCGTCGCCCGAGGCCTGCCTGCGAATGAAATCAAACCCGGGACGGGCCTGGGGCCCCACACGCCCAGCCGCGCAGGTCTACCGGGCGCCGAGGCACACTGTCCGCCAGGCTGCTCCTGCTCTGGCCTCTGGGGCTGCCAGGGCCCTCCAATCCGTT